GCTCTGCTCTGTCTGCTGGTTCGGGGCTGCTGCCTGCTGTGTATGTGTCTGAATGCTGGGGTAGGAGATTACAGTTTGAATTTTGGTGCAGTTGTGTGGCCTGCACTTTGACCCTTGCGCCCTTTGTGGTGAGGGGAAATTCTGGGACCGAAGCAGCCTGATTCCTGCCCGAAGAGGATCCCTGCTGGAAGAGACCAGCCCCTCTGCAGTGACTGAGTCATCTCTGAACCTGAGGCTCATTCATGGAGTGTGTGAGTGCACCATCTTTTAGTTAGCCAGGGAATTTGTTTGGGGATTTTACAACGTGCTGCATATTAAACCTGTGGAGGGATTTACCGCCTTTTCCTACTTGTGAGTCCTTTGGGCTGTACTGGACCTAGTCAGCCCCACTGCTAAACCACTGCAGAGAAGAATTTATGGTCATAAGTCATCAAGGGCCCCAACAAAGTACGCGTACCAACGGGACACTAACCTTACAGTTGCTGGGCACTGGTGAACCTAAAAATAGTGTTTTACCCTGTGGTGTTATATTTGTCTCCTGTTTAATATGTTTGTGTTTATTATAGTGTATGTCTTGTGCTATTTTCTGGGAGTCTCCAACTATCTGGCAAATACATGGGGATTGCCCTAGGTTAGAATTTTCCTCCCAAGGTGCCCTGGTGACCCTGCCAGGAAGGAGTGAGGGGGTGGAGGCACTGCCAAAGAAATCCATCGGAAAAAATAAAGTTGAGTGGGTGGCAGGATCCAGAAGAACCCAGACCTATCCATCAAAATCTGGAAGGAGATTGGCTTTAAAGAAGGTAACCAGGTGGAGAGGGGGCACTACATTTTTAAACTAACAACAGTGTTGTATTGGCACTGCACCTGCTGCATAATGTGAATGTGGAAAACAGCGTGTATGTAATGAGACAGCCTGCAAGAACAACTTCTCGCAGAAAGGCTCCTGAAAGAATCAGTGGTATTTAGCTAGGATTCCCAGATATCCCTATGGGTCTGTGAGGATATACTGGCTTTGGGAAAAAACTGCTGAGTTAATTCCAAACATCTCCTGTCCTCATTCCACTTCTACCTCCATGAAGATCACAAACTAAAGTCTGAACACACTAAATTTCTCTACCTCTTTGCAAAAGTAACCCATCTTGGACAATGCAAATAACTTCTACAGGTGGAACCTCTCTGGTCCAGCTCCCTTGGGGGTCAGTCAGTGGTACTGAAGACAGAGTTTGCTGGATCAGCGGAGGTTCAGGCTCCCCTCCTGGCTGTTGGCCCTGCTCCCTACCACAGACCCACTGCCCCCACCCCTGCTGGGGGTGTGCTTCCTGCCTGGGGCCAAGGCTGTGCTCCTCAGCATGCTGATCCTGGCTGGGGCTGCACTCTCACCGCTAGCCCAGGTTCAGGTCTGGCCCTACCATGAGGCGGCCTTAGGTGCCAGATTGTGGGGGGGCCACTAGGACCCAGAGTGTAGAAAATTGTGTCTGCTGCTGGTGCATATGTAGGTAGCAGAGCAATACCATGAAAAGAGTAGAACAGGAAGAAGGCAGAATTGAGACCTTTCAAAGTTTTGGCCCAAGCAAGGGGGAATGGGGACGTCATTAGAACTCCCCTCCTCAGGTGTCAAAATGTTGTGGGCCAGCCCTGGCCTTGCTGCATTCCCAGGTATTGGAAATCTGCCTCTGGCCTGAGCTGGGCTACACTGCCCACTCTGATGGTCTCAGCCAGGGACATGCTGCCAGTCCTCGCTGGCTGAGGCTGTGCTCCTGACCCTGGACCCGCTGCCTCCCACTGGATGGGGCTGTGCTCCCTGCTGCCAGCACCACTGTGCTCTCCACCATCCTGGCCTCGCACTCCCATCACCAGCCCAGCCCCTGAACCTGGCCAGCAAGGCTCTCTGGCCCAGCAATATCCATGATCCTCCCTGACCATGGAGGTTGCCAGACCAGAGTGTCCCGGATTTCAGAGCTTCAGCCTGTACAGAAATGTATAAACTCTTGCATTAAAATATCATTGCTAGGCCCCCTTCAACAAAGTATCTCCAGAGATGCACTGCAGAATAGCTAACTATGTGTGAATGATAATGTGCTCCCAAAGTGCAGTTAGAAAACTGGCTAAGAGATGATTGAGGAGGCTAGGGCCAGACCAATGTAAAATATTTATTGTGTGCCTTCCTTCTCCTGGACAGTTGGAGAACCTGAAAATTCAAATAAATGGACACAACTCTACCCATCTTAAAACTAGGCAGCATTTTTATTTAAGCGTGTCAGATGAAATTTTAAGGCTGGCTTCATCAAGCCTAGTGATAACAGGAGTCATCAGCAAAGCTATGATTTTTTCTTTCAGTGATTGCTCACGTCCATTCCATTTGGGTGTGCATGCACGATTGCCAGAAGTTTCTTCCCTCAGCAGTACACATCAGGCTGAGTGTACCCCTGCTGGCCCTCTACCCCTTCAGTTCCTTCTTACCACCCATGACAGTTGTTGGAAGGCTCTTCTCTTGCCAGTGGTTCTTCTATTAATAGTTGCATCTTTATAGTTAGTACAGTCATATTGTTAGTTCTTTTAGCAGTGTAGTTATAGTGTTAGTGAGTGGGGTTTCCCACCCCACTTTTGTTCCACCGCATTACAGTGTACCCAGGCCTCAGGGCTTTAAGCCCTGCAGACAGAGCTTTAAGCCCGTGCCATGCGATGCGTGTCTAAAGTGCCAGTGAGAGGGTCACCAGACAGGTAAGTGTCATGCACCAAAAAACACGGGGATACACCGTCCACCTTGACACCAACCCCATTGATGCCACTGGTACCTACAGCAACACTGACATCCACACAGATGCAACCCCTGTGGTGGTCATCAGGCACCAGGGCAAACTGACACTGACTGATATCTTGGCAAGTATCATAGCACCAATCACTGGCACCAATCTCTTTAGCACTGCCTTGGTCAGCTTCTGAGTTTTCTTTGGAGTTGGAGGCAGAGTCGGTCACATCCCACACAACTGGGCACCAGTCCCACTCCTGGCACTGGTCCCAGCACTGCCCCAGCACTGGAGCACTGCCCCTCAGCCTACACACACCACCTGGCCACCTCAGTAGCCCCATGCAATGGCCCTTTTGGACCCCTTGGGTCTGTCATCAGGCTAGGACCCACCAACACCTAGGGTGTGTCTAGACTACATGCCTCCGTCGACGGAGGCATGGAGATTAGACAGATCGGCAGAGCGGGGCCGCCATTTAAATTTAAATGGCTCCCCCGCTCTGCCGATCAGCTGTTTGTCGGCAGAGCGGGGCCGCCATTTAAATTTAAATGGCTCCCCCGCTCTGCCGATCAGCTGTTTGTCGGCAGAGCGGGGCCGCCATTTAAATTTAAATGGCTCCCCCGCTCTGCCGATCAGCTGTTTGTCGGCAGAGCGGGGCCGCCATTTAAATTTAAATGGCTCCCCCGCTCTGCCGATCAGCTGTTTGTCGGCAGAGCGGGGCCGCCATTTAAATTTAAATGGCTCCCCCGCTCTGCCGATCAGCTGTTTGTCGGCAGAGCGGGGCCGCCATTTAAATTTAAATGGCTCCCCCGCTCTGCCGATCTGTCTAATCTCCATGCCTCCGTCGACGGAGGCATGTAGTCTAGACGTACCCCTAGAGTGGCATTAGGTTACTCAGTTGCACATGGTGCTCATTTGCCATGCCACTCCCAGGAGCTCCTAGATCGGAGTCTAGGGCTAGCCTCCAAAAGGATAACCCCAGGCCTCCTCTTGAGGGTGAAACTTCTGCAATCTCACGGTCCTCTCACATCCAGCTACCTACTTGGGATGACGTGGAGTTCATGCAGGACACTGAGGACCAAGCTAACCTTAGGAAATCATCCCTGTCCTTCCCAGATGAGTCTGTGGTGGCACATTACACTCTTTACCTGCCATGGACAGAAGGGCCCGTCATGTTTGCATGAAATGGATGGCTCAGAATTTGGAGGTGCAGGCCAAGGAGGTTGCAGAGAGTCTGACCCAATAGTAGATGTTTGGAGGCCAATGGACCATCTAGAGTAGATCTCCCACTCATTAAGACAGTGGCAAATACTACTAAGGTGCTGTAGCAAACTCCAGCTTCTCTGCCCCCAATAGCAAGAGGGATTAAGCATCGATATTTCCTCCCTCAAAGAGACTATGAGCACCTTTTTACACATCCTCCCAGAAGTGCTTTTAGTGGGGCAAGTTGCTAACAGCAAACAAATGTCTCATTAGAACACAAAGCAAAATTCTCCAACATCCTTATTTTCTCTTCCTGCAACAAACAGTATCACCGGGCAATAGTAAAATAATGGGCATGAAAACATTGTGTATAGCTTTGTTTTTCAAAGCCTCCTTCCCTTCTTCTGAATTCCAGTTTCTGTACATGTCTAGATTTTTGTCTGTGTGGAGTCTGCTAACCAGTCTCATGTTAAAACCAGCAAGGAGTCCTGGGGCACCTTAAATACTAACTCATTTGTTTGGGCATAAGTTATTGCAGGCTGGAGCTCATTTGTCAGATGCATTTGATAGTCTTTAAGGTGCCACAGATGCCTGGTTGTTTTTGCTGAAACAGACTAGCACAGCTACCCCTCGGAAACTAGTTTCATGGTGCTTCTGAGCAGAGATTTAATTCTGCACACACCAGAAGGGACTTGGAGGACTGAGGCTGGCAAGTTGTTTGCAGGCAGATAACCCAGTGAGATGTGAACAGGCAAGAGAGAGTAGCAGGGAATTCTTTGCAGTTTGAAGTAGCAGTGGCCAGAGAAGGAATTAGGCAGTGAACAAACAGAGCAAGTGTGACTTCTACTAGAGCAAAATCTCCTGTGTTTTTTGCCTCTCTTAGAGCCATTTAAATACTTAAAGTGGCAGTGGATGAGACAAGGAAGGAATATTTTCAGAAATGTAGCTCAAGATCTTCCACTAAATAGCTGAAATCTTATATTCTGCGAAGAGCAGGTCTTGATCATAGTGACATGTTCATTTACAGTCTTCTTTCTTCCTTTCTCTCAGGTGCAAGTGGGAAGTACACCTCAGGACCAAAGAATTGTGGGATACATTTCCTGCACTCACTTGCAAGCTCTAGCAGGTATTTTCTAGATTTCCTTTTCTCAGTGTTTCTCATTGTTTTTTTTCTATTTCAGGAATGTCTCTATTCAAGTGCAGAGCAGCATATTAGCAAAACATCTTTCCCCATCCTGCTTTTGCAACAGTGTCATGCTAGTAGCAAGGGGATGGAAAAAGAGAATAAGATATCTGTAAAAGCTACCCTTAATACATTCTTCTTCAACTTCTTGAAACACACACAAATGTAGGAAACCAATAAAGCTTTTAGTAAGAGTTGAACAGCCCATCGGGACCTGAATCTGTGCAGCACTGAACACCAGCTACACTCTGTTGGCATAAAAATTGTGAGTGCTCAGCTCCATGCAGGATCAGGCCGATAGGTATCAAAGTGACTTCCAAGCATTAGGTACAATGGAGAAATAAACCATTTTTTGAAGCATTTGTTTGGTGAGTCAAAACCATCACTATTATTATAGGCTAGAAGATTTACCTGGAGTTGCGTGGGTCCTTAATTCAATTAATTTTTGTTTTTCTTCATTTAAATCATTGCTCTGGGTTGGGGTTGGGGATGAGGGGCTCAGTATGCAGACTGTTCTGGGGAGACAAGACTACCACAGACCTCTGTCACCACAGCAGCTTGGGGCCATTGAGAATTGCTTCTCCATATTGCTGCAGCTCCAGCAGGCATAGCCAGTGGAGAGGTTCATGTCTCCAGTGAGAAATGCAGCAAACTGCTCATTTTCCCCATGCTTCCTGATGAAGGGAAAAAGCCAGCCAATGTTCCCGTACAAATTGGAAGGGGTGAAGGAAGGATCTCATGGCCCCATTTTCCTTTATGGGAACTGGCTCCCTGGCCAGTCGGACAATAGCAGCAGAAAAAAACAGGACACTATGGGCAATTGTGGGCATGAGGCTCCTGAATTCAGCAGCTAAAGGGGACACAGATTACTGTCAAACAAAGTTTAAACAAAACATTTTGACACTCCCAAATTAACTTTTTTTGAATTCTCCAGCCTAGGCAGAAAAGTTGAATTTTGAATTTTTCATCCTAACTTGGGGACAAAAAACAAACTTTGATTTTTGATCTTTTCCTATAACGAGTTATTTCCCAGAATCCAAAGTTACCATTTTCTGAGACACATTCTACCACAATGTAAGTTTTCCTATATCCTGAAAAACCATGCTATGTCAAGCCAGTCAATCATATAATCATAGGGTTCGAAGAGACCTCAGGGGGTCGAGTCCAATCCTCTGCTAAAATCAGGACCAATCCCAAATAAATGGTCCCAGCCAAGGCTTTGTCAAGCTGGGACTTAAAAACCTCCAGGATAACAAAAATGATTAGGGATTGAGGAGAGGCTGAGCGCTGGAATGGGTTACTTAGGGAGCTGGTGGAATCTTAAGGTGTTTTATGTATGAACCTTCACTCTGATCTGGATCAGGATCTCCCCCCACGGTACGTTGGCCAACCAACAAGCAGCACCCCTTGGAGCATAAGCGTGGGAGTGGAGCTTAAAGCTGATAAGCACAAGGACTCATCATGCAAACCTTTACTCTCGTGAATATGAGAATGGATTCCCGTCTAGGTCAAGGCACTGTTAACCTGTGGAACTCCTTGCCAGAGGATGTTATGAGGACTAGGAATTTAACAGTTCAAAAAAGAGCTAGATAGTTTTATAGAGGTTAGGTCCATCAATGGCTATTAGCCAGGATGGGTAGGAATGGTGTCCCTAGCCTCTGTTTGTCTAGAAATGGATGACAGGAGAGGGATCAGGTGATTACCTATTGTGTTCCCTCCCTCTGAGGCATCTGGTATTTGCCACTGTCAGCAGACAGGATACTGGACTAGATGGACCTTTGGTCTGACTCAGTATTGCCATTTTTATGTTCTTTTGAGATGGGCTGGAGCCATTGTATCCTGTTTCCTAGAAAGCAAAACAGGACAAACACACAAAAGTTGAAAGAGAGAGAGAGAAAGAAAGAATGTGGTTCTCATCTAGGGCGTGTCTAAACTACATTCCGAATGGGCCCAATCGAAAATGCAAATGAAGCGTGGATTTACAAATCTCATGCTTCATTTGCATAGTTGCATGAGAACGCTTTTTTGAAAAAGGGTTTTTCGAAAAAGAAACCACAGTCTCTGTGGGGTTCTTTCAAAAAAGAACCCCTTTTTTTAAAAAACCTATGCTCCTGAAAAAATGAGGTATACGGGTTCTTTCGAAAAAGGGTTTTTTTTTTCCAAAAGAATCCCGTCTAGACTGCGGTTTCTTTTTTGAAGAACCCTTTTTCGAAAAAGCGCTCTCACTTGATTATGCAAACAAAGCACGAGATTTGTAAACCCATGGTTCATTTCCATTTTCAGTTGGGCTCATTTACATTTGTCTTTCGAAAGAGCAATGTAGTTTAGACATAACCTCTGGCAAATTTATAGCTATATCAAGCTGTTTAGGGGATTTTTTTTATCTGCCCTTATGCTCACAGGCTTATAGTAATGTTGCAAAATATGCAGGCTTGGTTAACTAAGCAAGGCTCTTGTTTGAAGACTAAAGGAGAAGCATAGGAAAGAAGAAATAAGGCAGCGAAGGAAAAACACACACAGGATTGGGGCATGGAGTGACATAGTCTCACATTCGTGGTGGCAGTCAGAATTCAGCCTGAACTGATGGAGGTGGTAATGTCATCTGAGGCTATGTTTACACTACACTTCTTTTTTAAAAAAAGATATGCAAATTGCGCTTTGCGATTTGCATACCTTTTTCCGATTGTTTTTTCAGAAGAGGCTTTTCTGAAATTTGGCCCATCTACACTGGCGGAAGAGCCCTTCTTCCTCGTGAAACGAGGTTTACAGGGCTTCTAAAAGAGCTCATTTGCTCTTCTGCAAAAAAATGTCAGAACTGCAGACGCGTTCCCTAGACACTCGGTAGTGTAGACATAGCCTGAGTCTCTCTCTTGTCTCTGTCTGGTAAGGACAGGTCTTGAGATCAGGATGAATAAGTGATGTTACTTGACTTATGATCTCACATTGTTCTTGTTTACCTGTCATGATTGTAACAGTCCTCGAAATACATCGATGGGCTTTTTTGTTTGGACTTATTGAGTCTGTCTCCTTTTTGCACCTTTTCCTCCATTTGCTGTTATAGGTTATTGTAACATGTTACTAATTTTCATTAACTTTTCACAGATGAGCTCACAATTGGAGTAAACAAATTAGGTTGTTTGCACATACTATAGTTAGAAGGCTGTTCTAGAGCCTCACTCCTCTGATGTTCAGAAGCCTTTTTCTAATTTCCAGCCTAAATTTATTCCTGGCCAGTTCATATCCATTTGTTCTTGTGCCAGCACTGTTATATAGCTTAAATAGCTTTTTTCCGTCACTGATTTTACAGTGGTGCATGCCATAATAAAGCCCTTGGGGAAATTCATAATTCTGTAGTCCAAGGAGTGTTTGAATGGGTAGCATTTGAATGTGTAGCAAATAGTGAGAATAAAATGAAATCTTGACCATCTATCCTGTGCATTGAATGGAGCAGAGGTTCTTTGGACAAAATAGTTTGCAATCATGTAATTAAAGACTGTATCATAATGCATATGGCATCTTAATTCTAGAACTTTTTAACTTAATTATTCTTTACTTTGCAAACTTAATGTTATACAAATTGCATATCAAAAACTACATTTAACGAGCGTGACACACCCTGTGCAGTGAGCTAGCAGAAGTGCTACAGATCATTTAAGTCACATTTCAACATTTTTTCCAGGACTTATGTATAAGGTCTCTGCACAGAGAGTAAATTTTATTCATACTGTCCAAAACAATACCAACCACTTTACATACAGATTGTAAGCTATTCTTTGCCCCAAATTGTTTAAATGTACACCGTGCAGTAGAGGAAAAGATGTGATAGAAGGGCTTATTTAGAGAGAGTATAGGTAGAAGGAGTTGGAGTGGTTTCTTTTTATCGTCCACCTGTGTATTTTGTTTTATGTCTCTACCAATGTCCATTAGCTGCTCAAGATGCATGCAACATTTTGAGTAATTATGTTCCCTGGTACTCCAGCTTTTTCATTTCATGCTTCCCATAGGAGACACTACTGTTCGATGTGAGCAACTTGATCTGCTTCAAGATTGGCTGGCTGATTTCCGAAAATCTACCTCCTCCTCCAGCACAGCCAATCCAGAGGAGCTAGTGGCTTTTGATGTGATCTGTGGAGATCTCAACTTTGACAACTGTTCATCTGGTGAGACAGGCTGGGTGTGCTATTTATGTTAAAGAAAAAGTTAACTCATGTACAGTACAAAATAACTCCTATCCTCTCATATTATACCTTTGAATAAGCTTTTAAAAAAACTGCTGCTAAGATATAGTTCCAGTCATCACTGAAGAAGTTAATTAATCTGGTTTGGATAGATATAGTTAAAATGCAAAAATTCAAAATGTTGACTACCCCTTCATTGCCTGGTCTTGTCTCCTATTACAGTATGCTTCCACTTGGCACTCAGGATTCATATGAGATGAATAATTTACTATACCCAGCTTTGGATCGATTGTGCTCAGCTTAGTTATTGCATCTCCAATTTCAAATGAACACAGAAGTTGAGTAGAAAAGTATCTAAAGAACAAATACTGAAGTTGGCAAGCACTCTGATTTGGCTTTTGAAATTATGAATCAAGCATTCTAGACCAGATTTATTGACTGAATTTTATTGATAAAGCAAAAGTGTCCGTGTTTTATTGACTTGGAGGTAAATCAATTTTAGCTGAACTCAGATAACAGCCAGTCAAAATTCAGATATTTACTTGTGTAGCTTTGCTCCAAATTTTAATATCTTAGGATATCCTGGCAGGTAAACATAATTCATTTAAACCAATAAGAGCATATCTACGCTAGAAAATTATTTTGAAATAATAACTCCTAAAATAACTATTTTGAAATAGTGTATCCACACTACAGAGAAGCCTTGAATTTAGTCCGAATTTGGCTCTATGGACACGCTACCTCGACTTAGAGCCCCAGGAAGCACTGTGCAGTAATTACTTTGAATGTCTCTAGGGAGTAGTTATTTCGAAATTGCATCAGTGGGGCAGCCACATTACCACTATTTCAAAATAACTATTTTGAAATAAGCGGTATTCCTCATGGAAAACAGGAGTTATTTCAAAATAAGGGAGTTGGTAGTGTGGACGCTCCACTTGTTATTTTGAAATAAAGGGAGTTATTTGACATGAAAGTTGAAATTAAGTTGATCACTTCCATTTTCTATTTATAGTCAATTTCACTTTCTGGTTCTCATGCATTCAGTTAGAACAATGCTGCAGTGTTTTGGTTTACAATTCTGCAGGAGAACGTTTTAAGTTTAAAAAATCTTTGCTAGATAATGTAATTAGAATGAAAATATAGGTTTTGTTTTTTTAAAGTATGAAATCTAGATATTTACCAATTTTACTCTGTAAAGAATCTGGAAGTAAAAATATTAACTGAGCATTTTTAGATTTGCCAGCTTTCTACATTGTTTATTACCAATTATGAAATTGTAGACTAGTTTGCTTGTTCAAGTGAAAATCCTGCTCTCTTTGTTGAAAGTTTTACAATTAATTCGTCTGTGATTTGCAAGTGACTTGATCATTCCATGTTTTAGAGCTATTTGCAGCAATTCAGTTGCACCCTAGCAGAGTTATCACACTTCTAACATCAGCACACTGAGTTCTCAGTTATCAGGAACTTTATTATAAGGATTATAGGGCTGTCTTTAATGTCAGGCTGCTATAGTCTGACTCCAATGGAAATCTATTATATTTTAAACCTTTTGCTATGGATACAAAGCCTTTCAATGAGGCACTGTGCCATACCTCTCAGCCACGAATAGTAACAATTGCTGCATACTAGTACATTAATCAACACAACATTTTATTCCCTTCCATGGCTTCTCTGATGAATGTTTGTAGGCATATGAAATCTTGTGACAGAGAAAAACTTGGCTGAATAAAATTGCACAGATTTCATATGGTCCTTAAATAAAAGCATCTGAATTCATCAATAAGATGCTGAGATAGGAGAGATTTGGTTTAAGCATGCCTGTCAAATCTTGAATATACTAGTTTTCTGCTCCTCTGCAATTCCTCCAAGATGACACTGCTAATTTATTACTGCCTCAGCTTCAGAGTCATCTTGTGGTTCTAAAGATGACATCTTTCAAGGCAGCCGAGTGAATGAAGCATCAGTTCTCAGCTCTTTAAGACACAATGAGCAAAATACATAGCTAGGGAAAAACAGATGCAATGACATAAAAGCCTGTAACAGCCCCTGGAGCACTGGATGTTTGCACAAATATGGCTACAGACTGAACATTCGTATTGTTTCCTTCTTTTGACCCCTTCTCGTTGGAATTGAGATTGTCACACAGCATTGTGCCTTGGCAAGAGTGATGCTGCTCTCCTGTAAAAGGAGGCTAGGTTTAATCTGGTTGATGCAGAGGTGACATATTTAGCTTGGACATATTTAGGTGACATATTTAGCTTGGACTTGAAGAAGTTCCCCTTTCCCATTTTGAGATTGTCCATTGTCATACACATTTATGGATTTTGTTGCTTTGAGTATAAACTATGACATATGACATCATTAGTCCCAAGTTCAGACACTTGTGAATCTTCCAAGGATCTGTAAAGGGAACTTGAGCTGTTGATAAGAAATTCTAAAGTTCTAGAATGGTAGAAATGCTGCAAAGAGGAAAATTATCAAGGGACACTGCCAGTTTCATGCGTTTCTTTAAAAAATTGCTGGATTTACTGCAGTGTTGATATTTGAAGGTTTGATGCTGCGAATACTACTAGCTATGATGTTTTCTATAATAAATAGTATATCCTGAATTATAATTCTCCTCGATTCTTGATCCAGTGTCTATTGTACCTGTTTGTTGTTACATAAAATAATCCTAAAGGCATATATTTGCTGTTGGGCTTGAAGTAGATAGAGCACCATCAGTACCAATTTGACAGAAATTAAACATTGAGAATGCAGGTAGTATGGTGGCTGTATTTTGGACTGTTTTAATACTCAGAATAACAATATTCATCGGGGCCAACAGCCACCAAACACCCATGGGCAAGGTGTGGGGAGAAGCTCCTCATCCTGGAAGGGACAGCGTCTCAGCTGGAAGGAGCAGGGCCAGGACAGACAGCCCTCAGTGCCGCCCGGAGTGCAGTGCTGAGCCCTCCCCCCTCCTGCCCTGAAAGCCACACAGAGACCCTGACACGGTGCTCTGGTGCTAATTCAAAGGGGACCAGGGTTCTGCCATATTAGCAGTGCCAGTGGCCGAGAGCTCTAGGTCTCTTTGAAACACTGGGCCCAGGTCCAGTTGCCCATTTTTGCTTCTCCCTCCACCAATGGCAGGCCTAACAGTCATAGAATCCTAGGGCTGGAAGAGACCTCAGGAGGTCATCAAGTCCAGCCCCCTGAACAGTAGCACAACACCAAGTATTTCTCTGTCTCTCTCAGTCTGTTATGTAACCTGGTAAGTGTTTCGTGATCAGTGCATCTTGTGAGGCAGTCATACCACAAGCTTCTAACTTCAGCAAACACACTGCTGAGGCTATGCAATGGAGAATCAGGCCCACTGACTCCTCCCAAAAACCAGACAGGCAGGCATTGAAAGGGAATCATTTTTTGTGCATAAATACATTTTCTTCTGTTTTAAAGTGCTGTGTTTTCAACAGTGAATCTTTGTTTTTCTAGTGCTTGCTCATGTCCTTTTGACACAGATATATGTGCATGCCACGTGTACCGGTGCCAGAAGATTCTCCCTTATCAGTATCCATAAGTGGACTGGCTCCAGCGTCCCTTGGAGTGGCACGCATATGCTGCCCCATAAAAGGTGCCACAATGCCCCTTCACCCTCAGTTCCTCCATGTCACCAGTGGCAGTGCTTGGGACTTCATTGCTACAGCTCTCACTGTCATGTTTCTTAGTCCTTGCACATGCGAATAATTGCCCGTTTAGTAGTTAGATTAACAGTAAGTCCTAGAGGGATATTGCCTTGGGATGTGGCATACTTGGGATGTTCTCAAGCTTTAAGTCATGTCACAATTGCCACAGGCCTATGCCAGTTGGCAGTGAGTAATTGTGGTGATCAGGAGAGGCACATATCAGTGACATGTGCCGTGTTTGCAAGTCCTTTCAACCTTGTACCAAGAAGGAAAGGGACATTCTCTTGAAGGCACTCCTGATGGAGTCTACCTTAGCCTCAGTGCCCAAACAGCACTTGGACTTGGCCCCAACCACCAGTGCTTTAGTATGCAGTGCACTGCCAATGCCATCGGCTACCGGCACCATTCCCATCCACAGCTCCTCTTAGGAAGCCCAAAAATCAGGTCAGGCAGATGACCGGGGACCAAGAAGGACAAACCCAAATCAACTGCCAGCTCTACTTCCATTGCTGTAGCCCTGTCAAACTGTAAGGCCCCCTTGCAGTGATGCACTGTACCTCACTCTCATCACCTACTCCAGGCAATGCGGAACAACTCTGGGTGCCATTGACAATGGGGGCTCTGCAAGTGGCCCGGCATTGTTTCAATGCTGATGCCACCTATTATGCTCTAAGATGATCCCCGCCATAGGAGAAAACTCATTCTGACACCACCCCAGTCCCCTCAGAAACTGTGTTCCCTCTCCAAAGGAATACCCTGCGCATCACCCCCAAGTGGCAATGGTTGCAGAACCCGCAACCCTGGGTGGGCCCCAGCAGTTTGCTGGTGGCTAAAGATACGGGTTGCTGGGAGACAGGCACAGATCCCTGGAGACACGTGTCCCCCACTGACACAGACAACACAACCAGGACTGGTACTCCCCAGGGTCTGATCGCCATTTGAGGGACAGGTCACCTGCCAACCAGTGCTGCTGCCCACATCAGCTCCATTCTCTGGTGCTGGTTTCTCCAAAGTATATCCTGGAGGGGCACAGGGGCTTGTGGTCTTGTTCCACCTCATAGCACCACACTGCTGCTGGTCAGTATTATTCCTGCACCTCTTCTAGCATACATCTTCCAGCTGCCATCGTTCACTGGGAGTCTGCACTCACCCCACTACTGGTCTCTGGTCGCTGTGTGCTCTGTGAACCTCACCTTGGATCCAGCTTCTGTACCACCAGCACAGGCACCTCTCCCAACACTGTCGGTACCCCAAATAGGATTGCAGCCCATGCAGTGCCTTCGGAATTGGCCTTCCCGTTGGTACCCTTGGAATCCA